AAGTTAAAGTCAAAGTCAAAATTTCTTTATTTGTATAGACTATTTTTACTTATTTATAAGTTAAATTTAAAATTAGTATTTTACACACTATAGTCCCAAAAGTGGGATACAACAATATGTATGTAAATTAAAGTGGATTACCCACGTTGTACTTTAAAAACACCATCTAAACTATTAATCCTAATCCTTTAAACCACTCACCCGTGCACTCTACTTACTTTTGTTTTAAAAACAAACATGAGGTTTAATTAATTAGCTCAAACAAGCGGGTCGATTTAACCGCAGCTCGTTCAGATTAGCGGAGTGATAGCTGCGGTTACTCTGTATTGGATAAATAATAAATAAATCCAGCATACTCGTATTACTCGTATACGAAGAGTACGTATTCTTTTTAATGCACGAGCTGTAACTTTTTATGTGAAGAAACACCTACGTGAATTTTAATGATAATATGTGGAGAATATAAGGTTCGAGCCAATCAAACCTCCTTCGAGCTTCGTAATTACAAAATGTTATAAACAAAGTTATACCTACATACCGTAACAACCCTTAGGCGCAGATTGACCAAAAGGTTCCAAGTTATAGTGCGTTATTTTTATTCTTTAAGACTCTACCCATTACTTAGGCATGACTAAACTAGATAAACTAGAAACGTTCGTTTCAGCCAAATAAAGTCCACTGCTGGACAAAGGCCTCCATTTCCACAATGAACTCTAAGGATTTCCACAATGAAAAGTCTTGCTCCTAGTAGGAGGCCTGCCCACGCTACGTTCCCCTCATTCATAATTTAAAAGCTTTTCTTACATCATTGCAGCAACTTCCACTCATCCCTGGACTCTGTCAGCATCTACGTCCTAAGATTTACGTGCATTTTTTTTATTTGCTGTATCGTTCTTCGTCGTAATTTAAATAATAAACATTTCAAATCTAAGTTTTGCGTACCCTGATAGTAATTATTTTTGAGATGCTGATACGGGCACTTGACTCAAGTCCCTTAAAATTCTGTGTATCAGTCTATTCTCCAATTTCATCAAAATCTATAAGCAATAATTATAGTTGTTATTCAAACCGCGTGCACACTTCCGTTAGTGTTGAGCCAAGATCACCGCAGCGAACTTGAGCCTCCTCCGGGAGACAAACTGCGGGCATGCGGTGAATATAATTACCGAATTAAAACTGTATCTAGCCTTGGTACATCGGAAATGGATTTACAGGCTGAAATTGTCTGAGATCTTAGATAAAGATTATTGAAATGATTTAGGAAACTTAGTAGGGAGACAAACAATGATATAAAAAAATGCATCTCCAGTTTATAGAGTCAACTAAACATGTTTAGGAGGTATTATTTCACAAAGGTACAGTCAGACGCATAATTTAGTGAAAATACTCGTAGTGTTCGAACGAAACCTGCTCAATTTTTTACTCATATTAGGTAATTCATCATAAGTTCATAAGACATAATGTAGTTTGGGTAGGTCAAGAGGAAAGGTAGAGGCTAGGTAAAAAGGAATGTTTATTTTCCTTAGTTGACCACAAATCTCTTCAATTCAATAGACTGAATCATAGCTAGGCAGCTACATGATGTGCTTTTTTTTATTGAAGTAACACAACTTTACATTTACAACAGTACGTTTCTCTAGAAACTTCCTGCCCCGTACAACCAAACTGTGGAATGGACTGTCGTCTGCGGTGTTTCCGGACGGATACGACCTGCAAGCTTTCAAGAGGAGAGCGTAGGTATCTTCACCTTAAAGGCCGGCAACGCACCTGTAACGCCCCTGGGTCTGCGGGTGTCTATGGGCGACGGTAATCACTTCCATCAGGTGATCCGTCTGCTAGTTTGCCTCCTGTCACATAAAAAAAAAATACGTCTCTTACCCTTTCCTGTAGAAATATCAAATAAGAAAAACTCATTTTTTTCATGATAGATTTTTGATAGATTTTTTATTCCTATTTCAATGTAAATTCCAAGATGTTGATCTGAATACTATAATACCTCAGCTCTTATTATTGGAAGACTAAGACTTTGTATATTATTTAGTTTTCTTTAACTTTATGTACCTACTTACCTCTAAACAATACTCGAAAGTAACTGTGAACCGGCGCCGTTACAACAACACATTGCATGACCACCATTTTATTGACAGTCGCTGAATAATATCGTGTGTGTCACTCGTGCTATGAGTCGTACTTATCGACTTATAAGCTCAATTGTTTCTTATTCATGTGGATAGCTCTGTCATGACAGGGCCCTGACAATGGCGGTAGGTGCGATAAAATTAAGTACCTACAGTTAACTTACCAGCTTGCTTTTTTTTGTTGATTCTCCTTTTAGCACTTAACTGTAGATTTATATGGTGAAAGACACTGAGGGTTTGTGCCATGGCCAGAACAGTTTCTAAACAAAATCAAATATACGTTATAATACATAAACTGGGTTAGGAAGGTAGAGTAGGCAGTGCTACAATCTTTTTATTTTTTTCACACTGTGTAGGTTCCACAAGATGGACCGACGACATCGTAGAAGGCGCTGGACGCAGGCCGCTACCAACCGGACAACATGAAAAGCATCGGGGGAGGCCTATGTTCAGCAGTAGACGTCCTATGGCTGAGATGATGATGATGACTGTGTAGGTAGAGTGCGAAATTGAGATTCATTTGAACTTTTTGAAGTCATGATAGGTATTGTAAGAAAAGAAACACAAACACTTGATTTAGCATTTATTTCCAGATGTGAACAACATACGTACTAAAATGTACAAGGATAGGATTTAATAATATAAAACAGTACGGACAATATTCCCTGTAGGCACAACTCAGTTTAGTAAGTTCGAAATCTACGAACCAAAACAAATTTCAAATCAAATACGAAACCGTAAAAACATAGATAAAGTGAATTCTTTAATTACTATACGCGATTGGTGCAGATTCGAATGCAAAATTGAATTTTTAGTTAACTTAGTTAATGGTTTAAGAAACAAGTAAATATTAATAAGTACCTAAATGATTAGGTATATGTATATGGACGCCTACTTTTCATTGTACCTACCTAATTCTATTAAACCTGTGTACGAAAATGTTTTTATAAACATACTAGCTTTCCGCCCGCGGCTTCGCCCGCGTGGAATTTTGTCTGTCACAGAAAAACTTTATCGCGCGCGTCCCTGTTTCAAAAACCGGGATAAAAACTATCCTATGTTCTTTCCCGGGACTCAAACTATCTCTATGCCAAATTTCATCAAAATCGGTTGCGAGGTTTAAGCGGGAAAGCGTAACAGACAGACAGACAGACAGAGTTACTTTCGCATTTATAAGTAATATTAGTTGGGATTGATTTGTGTGTGTAAGAGTATATCATGTTTCTTTTCTAATAAAAGTTATACGAAACTCTAATGAACGCCCTCATGAGTATAGCGAAGTCAATATTTTGTGTTTCGTCTTTCTAACAATCGGTTTCTTAATTTCAATTAAGAGTTTTAGAACTGTTTTAATTAATTTTCTTGGCCTTATAACTTTTCAATGCAAATTATGAAAACATTTTACTTTGACAAATGCACAGTTGTGTAGTTCTGATTTGTTGACCTTATTTTACAAAATAATCTAGCTTTTTATTGAATTGTGAATTTAGGACTTACCTACACTGCACATGAGATTGAGATTTTCAGTTTATATTTTTTTAATGAAGAAAAGCAGTGAACAAGCAATTACGTAGTCAGTTATTTTTTATATTCTTATTTAATTAGTGTTTTGAACACCTCTAATTATTTAGTAAAAATCTTTGTGCTACATAATCTACACAAATGAGTTAGTTAGCTTATTAAGGGTCACTGATATAGTGACCCTTATTTTTTATAGTATTGTTACAAAAGTTACAGTTGAGTTCAAAATTAAGGAACACTTTTTAAAGATGATAGAACTTTCAACTGACGCGACTTCATTTTATACTTCCAAGCCTGCCTGAGATGATGCACTGTTCTCCTGCTTTTATAAATGAGCAATACCTACCGCGAGACCTCTTTGCCTTACCACTTTGAGAATTTTGACGATTGAATAAGAGAATGTAAGTTATTTTAGTAAGTTGTGTCAATTCAAATTACAGTATAATGCCTTAAAACCTCAGATCATAGACTATGATCATATACTATTTGTAAGTATAACACTTTATTAATGTAGGTACCTACAAATAAAACAAGAAACCCACTCAAGTGTTTACAACGAATATCGTATTTTTACCGTCGAAAACCTAATTGTTTTTCATGAAAATTTACTTTGTGATTTTTATGTTTTTAACCGACTTCTTCAGTAGTTGGATGTGTAATGTACCTATTGTAATGTAATATACTTACTTACGCACCATGTATTTTAGTGTATTGTGTAACATACAAGTGTGCTAACACAGATTTTAGTAATAGCAATATCACAAAAAAGTTGCTAACATAATCGTTGCGCTATATTTACAAAAAAAAACAGAGTAGATACTTAACAATTTACTAAGTTTTGGGACAATCGTGATGTTGAATCTTTAAAAAAAAACAGTCCTTTTCATTTTAACACAAACTTTCAGCTGTCTTTAAAGGTAAGCACTTAATAACATACGCTATTTAATTCTAAGAAGTTTTGATTTTGATTAAAAAATAATAGATTTTAATATTGTATTTAACAAGATAATAGTATTTTATATTATCAATTAGGCATAATATTTTTTCCTAGTGTAGAGACAGTGTTATACAATTTTAATACGAAAGGTATACATAATAAATTCTATGTATAAGGTAGTCTACAATTGACAACTATCTATGTGCTCTTGATTCTAAAAAGGAGTTATTAAATAAAAGACGTAAATGAAAAAAATCTTTGTAATTAATTAACTATTTACAAATAAAACACAAGAAATTATAAAACGAAAAATACTAAAACGCATTATCATTTGTTTTGTAACTTAATATAAGTAAAAATTAATTAATAAAATCATTCTGTTTTATATTATGTGCTTAGCTACGGTATAATTGTTTTAATTGATTAACATGGCATCGTCTTAAAATATGAGCTAATTAGTACATTTTTCTATAAATATACTTAAATCTAAAGTAACAATTGAAGGCCCTTTACATAGAAGACTTTTAGTACAATTACTTTCATTTTTCTCTACTTTGAACATTTAACTGGCCTAAAACTTAATGTAATGAAACAGATATAAAGAATAAAAAAAATACTCGAGGGAATGTTTTTAAAATTGAGCAAAGATTATAAAAATAAACCGATAAGTCACTATGCAGTATTTAACATTAGATAGATATGGCGTTACAGGATATGTGCAAAGCTAGAGTACCATACCAGTCCAAATAACATTTCAACAATAGCTAAGTTACGTCAAAATTTACTAAAATATCTCTAAACATGAGCTAAGTAAAGAAAATACACTCGGGCACTCTGCACAAAGTCAATTTTCATAATCCTATAATTTACTTTTCAAAGTTCTTAATTCGAGTAACTGGGAAAGACTTTTAGGACTTGTACTCAAAAATATACACACACTTTTATAACAAAAGCGCATATTTTTAAGCTTGAGTATACTTTTTTAAATCCAAAGATGGTCCTAATTCAATTTTGTGCTCATTTAAATATTTCAAAAGGGAAAAAACCATTTTCATTTATTTTTCAGCTCCACAGAGAATTTCATTTTGCTTTTATACAAATTAGTTACTTTCTTGAAAAGAAGTAATAATGATTTACTAATTTCATTATTTGGGGAAAGATTAAGACACTTCAAGGTTGCTATGTTACGACTTTGACCAAGTTTTAAGGGTCAGCGGACCCTTAAATTCAAATACAATCCAATGCGTTCAATAATCAACTCAACAAAGTTACATAAATCAAATAATTCCAACTTGCGGATTCATACTGCAAATCAGAAGTTCAGTCATTCGATTTAACAAATTGTTTGGTTCGACTGTTAGCGGAAGATTCAGAGGAAGTTTGATTTGTTTACATAATTAAATAATAATAACTGTGTTAAAGGTAAAAAATCAGATTAACACTTTCAAGGACAGTAACCCAGACACAATAGAAGTTTAATTGTTGTGACTGCTATAGCAATTCACTGTCACAGAAAGCGTTAATGGAAGAACAAAATAATTGAACTTTCAGATTTGTTCGTGCCAGCTCACGATATCGATTTAGTTTCGAATTCAAAATTACATCACTATATCTGGTGAATGAAAAAGATGTTTCATTTTGAACATTAATCTTAGTTTCAGTTGGGGAATCATTTTCAAAATCAGTCGAGATCGTTACATTTGATTCGTGTTCCGAAATGACACTCAAAACTATACTCAATCTCAATGAGTGATTTAAACCTTTGATTGTTTGAATTTTAATATTATGAGACATACAGACAGAATTTCATGTACCTACATGAGCTTGAGTTTGAATTCAATTTTGAGCGCCGTTTTGAAATACGGGCCTTTGCGCTAAAGCCGTATCCTTTACTTACAAGATTGTACCCTACTGAGATAAACATTTTGAGTAGCCTACAAATACAGTTTTATTCTAGTAATTGAACATACTACTTTCGCTTACAATATATTAAAGCCCATAGAATTTGATTACACATTCAAAGAGTGACCACTAGATCACGTAAAATCGTTAGGGTACTAATAATTGCCAAAGAATAAATTCAGTTATCATCAGTCGATGAATATCTAATATCAAGTTACGTACAAATATTCATTATAGGACCAGGACCACGCAAAGCTCTTAATGATAAAAATAGGTCCTTTTAAGGTGATATAGCTGCATTTGATAAATATAATGTGTACCTTGAGGCGTTTCTTGGGTAATTACTTGTTGCCTCTGATATTTTTCCATTATTACAAATGCATTGTCAAGTATTTTCCATATAAGTGTGGTTATTATTCAAGAGTAATCACGTATATTCTAAGTGAAGAAATTGTCTCTTTGTTGGTAAATTGGTAGTTCGACGTCTGGTGACCGGTCGTCCAAGTCATCATTAGTGTTTTGTGGCAGCTCTTCTAACGCTTTCACTGTTCGAGGAAAACATTTTCATGTTTATATTACAGAAAAACATTGGACTAACATTAGTGACAAAACATTTAATTCAAACAACACTCAAACTATTAAAATTAAGGGTTAAAAAACATCAATCAAGCGCTTCACCAAAATCAAGTATCAAATCTTAGGTAAAACAAAAGAAGGTTGACCTCAAACACTTGATTTTCGTGAAACAAAATACGATGGAGAATGCGGAATAGAAAAAAACAAAAGACTACTCACAACGGAATGCAAAAAACGTTATCATGCTGCAACACAGGATAGCAGGAGTCTTCTAAGGACCGCCCAGGCAGCAACATCGACTTTGGGAGATAGCTTAGTCTATGATAATGTGTGATATGTGCTTAGAGTGTGATAGTTATGTGTGCGTGTGGGTAAGTCAGTTGTTCGCGGTGGACGGCCCTTGCTCAGTGTTGGTTCCTGTAGACGGGACAAACGACATCAAGCGACTGTTACATGCGGATTCGCGGACACACGTGGGTGTTAGTCACGCCAAACTCACATCTGTTGTTAGAGTAATAAAATTCAAGCTGTTTCGAGTTTACACAACTCTTAAAACCAAAAATTTCACAGATATTAACGAGCAAGCAAGTGTAAATCACATCAACAAAAGTGAATACGTGTTTTAAACATCAAATACGTCAGCTTGTTTAGATGAGAGTTAATATAAGTGATAGCAAAATTTACGTAGATAAATGGTCAAAGAAATGGTGAAGTTAAAAATACTCGAGTTAATTCCAAAACAAATCTAATAACAGATGTTACACTCAATGTAGCAAATCAAAGTGCAATCAACATTATGGAACTATGTCTACTTAATAGAATAATCGCAAGATCTGGCAAAATACGTGAAATTACAAGATATTTAGCATCCGCTGATTGATTTAACCGTAACTTAAGCAACATTTACTAATTGATGTTTGGGAAAGTCCATTAATTGTTGCTTCGGCCCAGGGTAATTAATCATTCATCAAATAAACAGCTGAACCAATGATATCAAATTGAATGAGGTCTGGAAATAGCAAAGTTTGTTTAAAGCTTTTCAATTTATGCATTGAATTACTCATACTATAAATAAATTTCAAAGGCCGATTTCCTTTAAGAGCGTCTTATTTGGTTATTTGTATTTGCATCAATAATTATTAATTACTCTAATATTTTGTGCTTTTGAAATTTCAGTCACGTTGTTCCAGTTAGATAAATCAGCGTACAATCGAAATTAAACTCAGATTCGTAGCTTTAAAATTGGAAATTCTTCGTTTGCTTACCTGCGATGATCTTGCTCATTTCCGTGACCTGCTTGGCGAGAATCTGGTTCATTTGGAGCAAGTGCTCCCGCTGCCGCTTCTCTTCGCAGTCCGGGCTCTAGCGTCATAAGCATACTTGTAACGTATGTACAGCCAACATTCAAGCGGCTATCGAAGCTCTGAGCTTGTACACAGAATTTAAGGTAAGATTTTGGTAAGGATGTGAGTGTTATAGTTAACACTATATTTTGAACTTCGTTGTACAGTTTTAGGATCAAAAATTCATTCTATCAAAAGTATAAATTCTAACAATAACAACTAGGTAACAGAAACACTTTATAAACATGAAGAATATTTAATGGAAGATGGTATTTGATATAATGCTTTTGATAAATGAAATGATAATTCTGTCTACAAACTCATAATCAAATGACAATAAGTCCAACCGAAAGTTTGGTTTTTTTGTTCAATGTTAATGGTTTTTCAAGTGAAATATTTATGAATGTCAAGAGATGATTTTGTACTTTCGGTCACACATAATTTACAAATTTTTAAATAAATTAATGATGATAACTGAAGAAAGTAGAGGTAAAGATAGAAATATTAAAGAGAGAATGATCATGCAGATAAAGTCATTCAAGACAACAACGAAAGCGAGCGAGCGGAGAAGTGCATAGACTAATTTATTGATTAGATTTAAGATGAAATAATTAATAGTCGTAATAATAGAATGAAGACTGTGATTTGTCTAAAGGAAATTAACCAATCAAAGATCAAAAAATATAATCTGTGGTTGAAATAGGAAAGAGTTTTTAGTGTAATATCGTGATACGGACTTCAGAGCAAGTACACTTATCAGATAGTATAACAGAAATAATGTTAATGTTATTCAACAATGGAAAAGCAACGTCAAAAAAAATGTTTTATAATTTTCATAGTGTAGTGATGAAATAGTAAGAATTTTTAAAAACTTCCAGTAAAAATGATGGCATGCCTTTTGATCGTTTGAAATATGAATTACGTAATACCTATAATATTACATTAATCTAATAAATCAATTCTTGATTCGCAATGGGCGTTTAATAAAATTAATGTAAAAAATCGTTTGGAGATAATTTTTCCTTCTGTAAGGTTTGAAATGTTACAAGAGATTAAGTTAAGGGTTAAGTTAGTTATTTATTTTTCATGCAAATTAATTTTACCTTGCTCGGATCAGCTGAGGAACTCGTGAGCATCTTCTTGATGGATTCCACTTTTTCTTGACGCTTCTGCTGTTCTTCGGGAGACAGTTCTGGAGGCTGTTAAAGGTAATGTTAGGTATATTATTTACTATTTGCGATTTGAAATACACGCGACTAGGCTATGTCCTATAACTGAGATGATGATGATAATTAAGTTGAACCGTATTAGTACTTGCAGAATAGAATATGATCACTGTCTTTCTTATCGAGGATTTCGTTAAAGGCGGACGTCTTGTCACCAGTGTAAGAAAGTCATGCTCCAGCTTGCAAATGACCTGATGATGAGGAAGTGTGTCAAGTTACCTTCTCCGGGATTACTAATCGATGAATGTGACTACAATCTATATCTATAAAAGCGAAAGGTCACTGACTGACTCACTCACTCATCACGAAATCTCAGAAACTACAAGTGCTAGGAGTCTAAAATTTTGCGTGGGGGTATATTTTAGAACGTAGGTGCTCATTAAGGCGGGGCTTTTCAAAATTCAACCTCTAAGGGGGTAAAACGGGATCCACCCGTAGGTACGAAGTCGCGGGCGGCCGCTAGTGGTTAGTTACCTTCTCGGGGATGTACCGCTCCGGGATGAGTATCTTCTGCGGCGCGGCCAGCAGCTGGTCGATGGTGGAGTCTGCGAGGCGAGTGGCCTGCGCTGGCAACGCCGAGCGGACCACGTCGGGCGCGGGCGCAGTGCGCAGCGCGCGCTCCATGTCCGCGTCGTCGAGGGAACGGCCCATTTTCTATGAGAATTTCAATAATGAGTATGCTTTGCAACAATTCATTTATGAATCGATACTTAAAACTGTGTCTTTTAATATTCTGACCAATCGCAGGCTTGAATCTATTCCTGAGTGTAATTTTATAGTGCTTGAGTAGGTACCGTTTCTTAATACGACGTATTAAGAAACGGACGATTATCATTTGAGGGAACACAAAGCCAATTTAATATTTTATAAGTCATGATTCACAGTAAACTAGACAAATTTAATAATGTAGATATTGAAATTTTTAAGTTTAAAAAGACCGAAAAAAGAAGAAAATAAGAAAATCCAATCATTACACTACTGAAAAAATACTCACGTCTTGATTGTATGCATCTTTCGGCAGCTCGTTCAGAGTCTTCGCGCTCAGATGGTGAGGCGCGGTGTAATGGCGCCTCTTCTCCTTGGGCACCTGCCTCCGATGCAGCGACCCGGTCTTCGGCTCCCCTGACATCTCCGTTATTATCTGCTTCGCCGCCTCACTCTTGAAGATCGGCGACAGCTCCATATGAGACCTCGTCAGGCTGACTATACTACTGGTCTTAGACATCGGGTCGTTAGTCAAAGTCCTCGAGCTATCCGTCGGGCTATTCAGGTACTGGGTGGACAAAGACACTGTCCTATCGTAGAGAGATCTATCGTAACTCTTCTGGTAACTACTGCTTAAAGACGACATGTCTCGGGAATAGTCGTAATTGGAGAGAGAAGGACTTGAGGGGTATTTGGGACTGAGCTCCATATTTCTGTCGTTCAGACGGAGGTAGTTCGGTGGTTCTTGCTGAACCCTTTGCGTGTTGCAGTAATCCTCGAGTTTGTTGTAATCGTTCATCGGAACGGAAGATGTTCTGGCGTAGTTCAAGGATGTGACTAGCTCTTCTTCGATGAACTGGTCGAGGTTGGCGGTGATGTTGTGGTTCGGCCAGTCAGACATCGGTTGAAGAGACCGCTCCCTGTCCCTCTGGCGACGTTCGCTCTCCCTCTTTACTATGCGGACCGTTTTGATCTCTTGCTTCTCTACGTTGGACAGGTTTCCTAAAAAAAGAGGAGAATAGAATCAGCATTTTCTTATAGTTCATACATAATACAGGGAGGGATCCCTATTAAGTGAGTTCTCCGTGACACTCCGTGATCGTGACATCAAGTTAAAAGTACTGGCAATAAGTTGTGCCGGTATCTCATACACAACGGTATTTGGCCTCTTTGGTGTACCTGTGTCCAAGAGAAATGCGGCGAAGTTGGTATTTAAAATGTTTACGACACGGTTACTTACCAAATCCACCATGCTGCATATCCTCGCTATTCAGCGGGGAGGTGACGTCACCGCCACCGGCCCTCGTGTCCACATACAGAGGCGTCTCCATGTTGTGGTCATAGTGGCCTGGTGGTAATAGAGGCCCCGTCATCTCGTAGTCATAGTCCGACTGGCCGTGGTCGATGGTATGGCCAGTGTCGAGGTTCGTCTCTTGCCAAGAGGACTGGGGGCGGCGTTTACCTAAAAAATAAGATCCATATTTTAGTTTGTTGTGTTCATAATATTTGAAATCATAAACGTTGTTTGTGACGTAGGCACAGCCTAATAACTTTATGATCACCACATACTCACCTCTTAATGTAACGTATCGAACTATCGGAAAACAAAATCGATGGACCAGCAGTAAAGATGAGAGACATAATCATAGTCGAATATTACTCGTATCATAAAGGGCCGATTTTAAATTATGTAAGTAAGCTGGATCAATATCTGGGTCCACAATGGATGATCCACTTCGCTCCAATCGTGCAAGAAAGTTAGACGCACGATCCTGTAGACGACGTAACCCGTGCGAGCGGACCGCGGTGGATCGTCCTCCGATGTAAATCCGGTATATTGACTCATGGTGTTACATCTCGTATGACGTAGGTATACTGACCAGGCATGGAGTCGTGCGTGGTCTGCAGCGCGTGTGACTGCTGCGTGAGGTGGCGCACGGCGCGGCTGAGCTCTTGTCGCTGCCGCTGTAGAGCCGACACCAGCTGTTGTACGCGGGACACCTCTGTAAATAAACAAACATTATTATATACTAGCTTTCTGCCCGCGGCTTCGCCCGCGTGGAATTTTGTCTGTCACAGAAAAACTTTATCGCGCGCGTCCCTGTTTCAAAAACTATCCTATGTTCTTTCCCGGGACTCAAACTATCTCTATGCCAAATTTCATCAAAATCGGTTGCGAGGTTTAAGCGGGAAAGCGTAGGTAACAGACAGACAGACAGACAGAGTTACTTTCGCATTTATAATATTAGTTGGGATATCAGACTTTAGAAAATTATTGAGACAGAAAAACTAGATCAAAAATGGTCACTAAATCGAATCAGCTCTAAAAAGGCTCTTCCTTATTCGACATACAAACAAAGAGTTCGTCGTAAAACGGGCTGTTCTCAGAAAGTTTTTGAATCCAGTTAGATGCTCCATCATCAATTTGAGACTTCTAGAATTCTATGAATATGAAGAGGAGATCGTGCTTTGTGGCGTTCTTGGTAGAAGATTACTTCCAGCAACGGACTACCACAGGCTGAAATAATGACTAGGAATGTCGGGGGTTGGAATTGACTTACCATCTTCAAGCATAGCAGTCGGATGAGCTGGGACCGCAGCACGCCTGGCCTGCAAAGCACGACGTAGCTGCTGCAATTCCCGCTCCAAGCGGGCGTTGTCTGCCACGGTCTGCTCGAGTTTCTGTACAAGAAAAGGAAAATTAAGAACTTCTATCGTTTGGATTTAAATTGTATTAATCTTTAAAACTTGATGTCATCAGAATTTTAGATTGAGATTAAAGTACAGTCAAACTTATTCTGCCATCGGATTTTGTTTGTATCTATATCTGGGAACTGAACCCCGAACGTCTGAATCGAGAGAGTATTCTCAAAGCACTGGATCTAAACATTGCACCATGGACTATAGTAACTGTATCAATGCTACATGTCATTGTTTTCTTCCAAATGCTGCATTCCAATATCTTTTGTGACGTAACAGTCATGAACTTCTAAATCTTCATCAAGCATAGTTACAGTTACAGCAAAGACTACACAACATACATTGGGTACAGGTAGGTAATATTACGATGATGAAGAAATTGCGTGCATCGTAACCGTAGATTCATGCTATTAAAAAACAAAAACATAAGTTCTAGTATTTACGGTACACATTTATACATCAATACTTCACCCTCACCATAAAGTAAATACCATGCTTGTCACGTCTACAGCAATTTTACATGCTTTACCAATATACACCTAAAAGACGGTGCTGCAAAGTATAAATTAGATAAAATAAAAATAATAAAAGTGCATGTATAGACGAAAACCTTATAAACCTTAGAATTGTGTGCCAGCATAGCGTGCACTCTGGCCAGTTCTGCCTCGAGACCAGGGGCCTGAGGCGGTGGTTGGTTGACCACGCGGGGTGGTAAGTCTCCTCGAGGCACACTGTCTAGCTTGCCGCGAACACCTGGAAGAACAAAAGAGATTCGTATAAAATCTTGATAAGGATCTACGAGTAGATGTCCTTATGTTTTAGCAACTCTATCAAAACCATGATGACCAATCTAGCCCCGCCAAACAGTGCGGTCAAAAATCACTCAGTTTTTACTTCATAAACAAACGATAGAATACGCATGATAGAAGATTCGTATTAGAGTAGGCGCACACCGTTGATTTTTCGTCGGCCGATAGTTTAGTCGGGCAGTTGATCAGTATGGGCATGTATGGGAGTGCGCACACTACGCCGAATCGATTTGGCCGATTCTTCATACAATTTAAAATCGGGCACAACTATCAGCCAACCAAAAATCAACGGTGTGCGCCTACTCTTAGTGTTAGGTATAATTTATTTGTTTAAATTGAGGTAAGAGAACAGGTTGGCAAACAATAAAACGACTAAGTACGAGTACATACAGGTGTTCAGAAGAGTAAATCAATACTTCTAATTCTAACAGTGATCGTAATGTAAATCAATTAAATATCTGTTTTATGAGCAACATACTCGTAATTGAACCATATTGTTTTTCTCTCACCTCGTAACAGCAATTACACAACCCTTATAAATACACATACCTAATCGACATTGCTTTGAACTACTGCCAAAGAGGTTACTCGGAATTTGAGTTGCTATCTGGATATTAATTTTGTACAACATAACGGACAGCCAGTTACTAAAGGCCAGACGAGAAAGCTTAATTAGAGTTTTCTTGCAAGTGCCAATTACAAGGATTATAATTATTATCAAATACAAGTACAACATTAGAAAAATATATTTTGCTAAACAGTCAAAGAAGTCAGTCGTTTGGGCAGTATGAAACAACATCCAATATTAGCGCAATTCATCTTTTTAAAGAACCTTAAAAACTATTTATGGATGGCTCTTTTAACCTTTTAAAGTTTAAAGATTTTTGTGTATTAAATCTCACTTACCAGTCAGCAAGGATTCTATAGCGTCCTTATCAGTCTTCAAGCCTTGCAGAATGGCCGCCTCGTCTGCTAGCTCTTGCTCCAAAGCCCACAATTCTGCCACTCTTGCCCTTGCTGCTTCAGTCTCCAAAGGCTTCCCTGCAGCAGCACTTTCCAACCACCTATCATTTAAAAAAAATCGTTAGCAACACTTGAAATACAGTTGGTTGCAAAAAGTATTGTCTTTCAAAACCACTACGTAATGAACAGATAAGACTTGGTTTTTAATTAGGTAACTATGTAGTTTGGTAGCATGTGGTGTGTTCTGTGAACCGGGTTAAGTTCTAGAATAACTTACCGTTGTTGTTCCAAAGCATGTTCAGCTAGGACCTTCTGCCGAAGTCTCTGGTTCCTCTCCAGCCTTTCTACAGTTGAACCAGGCCGATTGTACAGCGATCCTAGCTTCACCATGTTGTCCACCAGTTGAACCAGTGGTTTACTCTTCTCATATTGGTGCTCCAGTTCCATTAGCTGCATACGCAGTTGTTCCAAGCGTTGCAAGTTCTCTTCTCTTTCCATTGCTTTGAGAGAGCTGAGGCTGTCCTGTAATTTTTAAATTAACATGGTTCAAATTCGGTGATATTGCATAGGTAATTTCAACTGCGAAAGTCATTGATTTCTATTTTTATAATGATAGTAAAGAAAGGGATTCTAATGCATGATACATAAAGAATACACTAACAAACATAGAGACAAAAAATGATAAAACCAAAATAAGGAAACATAAAAACAAAATAATAAAACACCTCTATGCTACTGATCTGAGCACGGCATTGTTCAATAGCGCGATGGGTTGCTGCATGACGTCGTCTCAACTGGATGAGAAGAAGCACCAGCTCTTCATGAGTCCGACCCAAAAGCTCCCCAGCTGTGGGGACTTCGCTCAACTGATCACCTTGACGACGACCCTCCCTTTGCTAATGGTAACAGAAATGAACGCAACACAAATGATAAAGCAAACATATACATACAAAATGAAACTAAAATAAACAATAAACAAACAATATTACGAGTAACATCACATTTTAAAATTCGTCATTTTCTTACCAAGTCATCATTTTCAGTATTCCGTCGAACTCTGGGACTAACAGCTCGTATAGGCTGCTGTGAAGCTCTAGATGGGGATCGAGCAGTTGCCCAAGAGTCCTCAGTAGCCGTTAATGTATGTAACTGAAAAATACAATTAATATTAAAATACATTACTTTGGTGTGGGCTAACAACTATGGTGGCATAAGCCGCCATAGGTGTCTGACATGGCTTAATTGGATTAAAGGCTTAAACATCTTTTTTGACCTATTAGGACACTTACATTTTGTTGTGAATTAGACATCTGTTGTGACCCATAAGTGTCATTGATTGGTTTTTCCTCCACCCATCTCACTCTGGGGCTCACAGCACGTACTGGTATATTGGTGTCTCTATTAGTCCTTCCTATTGATGTGTTACTTCCGAGAAATGCTTTCTTTGACAATGTTTGCTGATTTACTGTATTATTATTTGAGCCTGGATCCATATTTGTGCCTGCCATTGTCATAGAAGCTAAAAAATGAGAGTCAAAGTTAAGCCTATGCAACACATTTTAAAAATCCAAAGGTATGTTTATGTATTGAATTTCATTGAATATGGTATAAACATGATAAAGTGTGATTCGGTGCGATTAGTAGATGTTCATTTAATATTTACATACAATGCAGGTTAAATAAAACATGCTTGCAAAGGTACACCTTATCGTGTTTAAACCCTACATAGAACCAAAACATTCTTTGATCATACTCTGATGACTATTTACACAATAGAATGACTTTGCTTTGCTGAATATTGTAATAGAAATAGAACTTACATAGTGTACCTTACAGGACGAGAATGTTAGAGGATACCTTCATTGCTTGCACTGTCAATCCCGTTGTCCATGTTACTGAGAGCATCGCCCACGCCCACACCGGCACCCGCACCCCGCACGCTCCCTACCCCACTTTTCATAAGACCACTTGACATTAAATCCCACTGCCTTAGCTTTTCCCTATCTATTTCAAATCTCTTCTTGTTTCTTTCTTGAGAGTTACGTTTTCTCTCCGCTCTTACACTGACTAGAGAATGACTTATATTATCTACAGTTAATTGCTCATAAACACCCTCATCTGACTGTTCCAATGATGTCTCGGCGTTTTCCGCAAGGCTTACGTAAACATCATTATCATCGGCTTTCTCTTCTTCTTCTAAATAAATATTATGAAAACTAGAGCTATTTTCTCGCCGGCGTAAAACTTGGTTTTGAATGTCACAATTAACATACGTTACATTTCTACAAGGTTTATTTTTAGATTCCTTCTTGACTCTTTTAATACTGTTCATTCCACACGCGTCAATACTGGCGCGACTCATAGATGGTTCCGATGGCGCGTGTCTACAATCATCCAGATCATCCATTGACCTAGCGTGTCTGTGTGATACTCTTCTTAAGTTGTCCCTCCATAAAGAATCTTCATCCCAATGTTTTTCTCCCTGGCACAATACATTTTCATATGCACCGGCCTCAGCTTCTGCGTCGTAATAAACAGTATTCGAAGAGTTGCCGCTACAATGCGATGACATACTAGCAGTAGACATTTTGAGTGAAGAGCTTGCGTTGAGGCTACTGCGATTTATAACAGTAGAATCTGGTGAAGAAGATTCAGCGGTACTACCGATTCCTGAATTTTTTTTACAACCTAGGCCTGAAATTAAACTCATTGATTCAGGAATTTTTGAACTTCTACCTCCGGTCGATTCGTATATGTTTTTCATGTCAATTTCTGGATCTTTATCCGCTGCACTTAAAAATTCTACAGATACACTTCGCGCTGAAGCGGCTAGTTCGAAGGAGCGATCCGATAATAGCACTTGATTATTGCGAATAGGGTTGTGGATGTGAGATATTTCATTTTTCTTGTGTAATGGTCCTCTACGTCTTTGATTATTCAATTTGCGATGAAGATTTGTATTCTTCAGGTAGTGAGACGTAGGCAATACATTGATGTGCTCTTGGGAGGACAGATCCGAATAATAATAAGGTGCACTATGCTCCGTAGAACTTTCCCTGCTATGAAAGCCTGTGGTTGTAGAAGAAGTATTTGTTTCATTGCCGGCTTTGAGTGTTAATTTTTCATTTTCAAACTCTTTTATTTTATCAGCCAAGATATCATTGTTTAAATTTTTACTCAGCATGGTTTCCTCGTCAAAACTTTTACAGTAATACGACATAGGTGACTTTGGCAAGCCTGTTGAACTACAAGAACTTTGTGATCCAATACAGCCCGGTATTTGCTCTGTCAATTTTCTATACTGCGCTCCTATAGAATGTCGACTTGGTATGTCTAATTTACTTGCATGGCTCACTGGAGTACTTGAACACCTCATGTGTGAAGGAGCTGCGTGAAGATGAGCTGCTCGGAATAGGTTATCTTTAGATGAATTATTAACTTCACAAGCAGAAACATTAAATAAAGAATTGTCTTGACTAATATTACTCGCCTCACTAGTTCCAGGTTGAAGATTATCTAAATATCTATCTAAGTCAACATTAGTATTCGTGTCATTATGTGTAGGCATTTCGGCTGATGCAAGTTCAAACAAAGAATCATCTGAAAGTGGTCTTCTCTTGAGCATCATCTCTGGATCACGGTAGTTAAATGGATGTCTTAGATCAATATCAATTGCCACTTCACTTCCATTTAAACTATTGACCTCTGATGATAGATTTGATGGAGCTATTTCAAACTTACTGCTTACATCTGATTCTAAAGACAAACGAGAAGATGCTTTATCAGCATTATAACTTCTCAATGAGTCAGTTTCAATACTGCTTGAGTTATAGTGTTCCAGTATTGAATTACTTAATAATTTTGGACTTGATTCACTAACTCTATTTCTATCATTAGTCAAACTTGCTCTGCTATTACGGATCTTTTCTCCCCTAGTAAGCGTGTCGTGTATAGATGTTCGGCTTCCATAAATCATAAGAGATGTGGTTTTTCTTTTTACTGTGTTCATTTTTTGATTTTCGGTAGTTAACATTTTGAGAATTGAGTTATCATTCGATATGTCTGATTTATCTAACTTATCCAATATGTATTTTGAAAGCGCATCATCTGATAATTTTTCAGCAGGTGGTGGAGAAGTTGGAATAGGTGGCGGAGGAAGGATTTCACTATCAGAACTATTTTGTCTATTTAGAACACTTCTACTGCCACCTAAATAGTACGACGCCGGTCTGAATGTATCCGATATACTGAATCTACTAAACGGTGTATCAAGTGAAATGTCCTTAGATGCTTCGTCATCTGCATCAGAACAGTCAGATTTTTCTTTGTTTACTTTTTCTGTTTTTGAAGCTCTCTTTAATGTGTGTTCTTTGGTGTCTGCAAAATTGGATGCAGTGTCAGTGGCAAAATTATTTAAAGACGATTTCTTGCTGTCTTCACTTGTCACGTTATTTAATTCCATATACACTGGTTCTATTTTACCTCCATTAACACAAACTATTTCATATGTTTGCATATCTTCTTCTTCGTTGCCCAAATTCATTTCAACGTATGGGTTATCATCACAACCTGATGGTAGAGTCGCATCAAATACACTAAGATTCTCAAGAATCATTTGGTGAGCCAACTCTACTGCAGAAGCTTTTCGAGGGCTCATTGGTAAATAGTGATCTTCACATGCAGTTTTGGCTGGAGGTGTTTCGGCTTTATTGTCGTCTTCAGTTGAACTAGTCTTTGGCTCTTCTACATTATCAGTATTATCTTTGCCTTGTGCGGTTGTTGCCTCAGCATCTGATTCTGATAAAACTTCATCTAAATCATTATCTGTATACTCCATCTGGGTTTCAGATTCAGCTTCGCTTTCATGAGTCTCATACCCACTAGGGTCAGCTACAGGTTCAAACCTATTTTCACTGTCTCTATTTTCTAATGTATGTTCTTCATAAATAGACTCTTCATGCTCATGTTCTATCTTTGGCACGGATACAGTACAAAGTAAATTTTCGTAAGTGTTTTCACTTTTTTCTTTATTTTCAGTGTTATTTACATCGTTTTCTTCACGATTATCTATCTTATCAATACAAGGTGCGTGCGGGGGTATAGGTGACATTATGATAGGACTTGTTAAATTCACTCTATGGGACCTTCCTGCCTGCATATCTCTTGGGTTTTGCAGTTCAGTGCCCGACGTTTCCTCTGAGGTGCAAAAGTGAAACCGAAATTACTATGCTTGCTTGTGATTATTTGATAGAGGAATTTTGGTTGGTTTATTCGTAGACACATTTTAATTGGTTAGTACTTATGTTCGGCTTCAGTGTTAGAAAGTGCAAACTACTTATTACCAGCAAAAATCGTTATCGTAACCCACCACCTTATTATACCAATATAATATTCTGTTAGTGGCACAATGTCCCCGCAGGCAGGAAGGCACCTTTCCGCAAAGCGAAGTCATTATATTGCTACTGCAGGACGTATTTATGGAGACAGGTATATTAAAAATATTATAAATGAAAAAATAAAATATATAGTTAAAGTATTATTACTCATTTTAATGGAGTGTAAATACTTGTTAGATATCATGACTTATAAACTCTATTTGGGATAATATCAATACAATAATGTTATGAAAATAAACATATAAACTTATTTAATATAATTAAACAAAATGTGGTAATTTTGATTAGAAAAAGTTTACTAAGGGTCTCGATATAAAACATAAAAAATACATCCTATACGTATATTTATCTATACCTAACAAAATTACAATCTCTAAAAATGTGGTTCTCTTTTTTTGGGATAATATAATAAAAAATTATAAACATAAAATATTTCATGCATATAAATCTTATCATGCTTGAATTTTCTTTTATCTTTCTCAGATTTCTATTGATCCTCGATATTTTATTCATGCTATGAAACTTTACAATGATTTCAAGAGAAACATATTTAGGTCAAACATACCTTCATCGTCCGAAGAGTAACTGTTATATGAAGCATTTGTATACGTTTTAGACTTGTACTGATCCGATCTCAAGGACTGCCGACTTTGATTTAGAGATCGAGCCAACGATATCGTAGCTGGTGTGCTCTTTCTCGTCAAAGGAGACTGAAGCATTCTTTGCTTCCACTCCAGCAAACGTTTCATTGATTCTTCTCTCTGAAAACAAACCTTTATTATTTTCAATCCAATAATTGACAAGTAGACTTAATAATGATAAAATGTGTATCACTTACGGGATAATCATTTACCTGTTGAACTTTCTTTTCGCCCTCTTTTTCATTACCAGATGATGGTAGCCGTGCACTAGCCGAACGCATAAAACTGTCCGCTGATTGTTCAAACCGATTCATATCCTTAGTATACGCGCTAACATTGGAACCATCGCTCATAACACTTCCACTTCTGTACAAATATTCCTTCTGGTTTTCAAGATTTTTCTCTTTCAAAGTCCAATTTGAATTTAGCCCTTCTAGATCTCCATACTTTGCACTGAAACTAGCGTTTTCGCGAGGAACCTTGTTAGCACTAAACTCCGGCTCGTAATTGTTATTAGTGATCTGTGAATATGCTGAGCTTAATTGCTTTTCGGCTAACCCGCTTGCATACTTCGCTAATGGTATTTGTATATTTCTTGGCGCCATTCCTGCTTGCAAATACTGCGCGGACTGTCGCATTTTCTCTGCATAGCTCTCTTCGGAATAATATCTATCTGAACTAGGGTCGTAGTACGAGTTTATATCGAGACTAGATTTAGGTCGTTGCGGTTGCTTGGGCGGGTCGGCCGTAGTCCGAGTTGGCATCGTTTTATTCAACATTTCATTCTTGGATTCGTATTCCAAGAAATCGGCGCTGTGAGGTCTTGGCATAGGAGGTTGTATTCCACTGGATTGCATTTTCTTTCGCCTTAAAATTGCAGGGCCGCTAAAGGTTTTCTCCTGGGGCTGGAAATAAAAAAAATAGTTAAACACCTGACATTAGGACTATATTTTTTTGAAATAAATGTTTTTATATTTTTATTTCAAACTATACATACATAAGCCGTGCCATATTCTGCTGATTGTTGATGATTAGACTGAGTTGTGTTTGGCGATTTGGCATACGCTTTTCCGTACTCATTTTCAACAGCGTAAGTTCCATAGACGTCTTCATAATCTCCAACCTTTGGGCCTGATTTATTATAAGCGGCCATAGTATTAGATCTTCCATAAGCATCAGGTGTTCTTCTTTCAATAAGCAGCCGTTCATTTATTCCAGCTTGCACTTTATTTGGCCTTGAATTCAATTCTCCGTAAACCTCTCTGTTGTATGGATTCATTTCTGCATTTATCTTTTGGTTAGAACGTGTTTCGCCGTATGTTTCATTATTATAATTTTGTTGCATCCTATCCTGCTCCATATGCATTCGATTATTTTTAATTTGAGCTTCATTTTCTTTAGGTGGTGTTTCCATCTGTGGCGTGTTGTCTTGGAGGAAAGGATTGCGTTGCGGTTGTCGGTCGTATATCTGATCTTGTTTCATTTCTTGTGGTACCTGTTGTTGCTGCTGGTTTCTTGTCCTATTATTAAAGTAAGGCGACTGCGGATTAGATCTGTACATATTTGATGTGTTAGGTTGATTGTTATCTTGTCTATCATTTGCAGAGTTAGTCAGAGGGAGAGATAAATTGTGTGAGTCATAAGGTCGTTTCGCTTGATACACAGGCTGCTGAGGAGGAGGTGACTGCGGGCTAAGAGTGTATGTGCTCTCTTGATTAGGGCTTCCATAATTTGTGTGCTCCTGGTAACGAGGATGGTTAGGGCCTTGACTGTAGTGAGATGAAGCTGGCTTTTTTAGTAGATCGTAATTTGGATCGTACCTGTAATGTTGTGAATTAGTTTGGAAATATTAGTCATATGACAGGAATGAGCACACAGTTATTTACGAACAAAATAGAAACTGTTTCATCTTACATGTCTGGGCTGGGCGAGTTGTATCCTTCGTTGGACCGTCTCGGTTTTGGTGGGGCATTAGCATAAGTCGGTATGTCATCACCTTCCTGAAATGATCAGATAATTCAATTAACTTTATAATTTACTTGATAAACAAGCTATCAAATGGATCACTACAAGCATGCAGATCGTAGATGTATATGGATGTAAATGACGCTATCAATTTGCGGCGACATTCAGACTATTATGCACAGTTATAACGACTGTGTAATCGCTGTCCTTGGTTCCGCTCTGGCGCACTAATTGTCGATCACCTGCAGTGTACACGTCCGTGCACAAAATAATACCCACCTCTGTTTTCGCAGCTGTACGGTCACTTTGCTTTTGTGGTTGCTCGCTGAAAAGAAACAGTTTAAATTATAGTTACAAGACAAACTGGTACCAGTCAATGTAAATATTAATTTAGTGCAGTGCAATAAAATCAACCTTCTACTTTGCTAGATAATAAGGTATAGGTAGATTATATAAATAAATATCTTACTTGGGACTTTGCATCAGAGCGGCCATAGTCAACGATTTGACCCAATTCAACATGGACTCTTGATCCGGTGCAGCCAGTACGTAAGTCCGCATATTGGCGTGCTCTAGTTTGAAGGCGAATTTCCTTAAAACTTTATCCTCCGCTGTGCAAGCAGAAACTTTGTAAGATGGTAGAAGCACCGAACCTAGAAGTTTTTCTTCGTCTTGACCTGAAAAACATAAAGTTATACGTCAGTCACAGCAATTTTTGCTGAGTATTTGCTTGGAAAGCTTTCTAAGGCTGGGTTGCACCATCTTACTTTAATTTTGACAAACGTCAAAATTCTGTCAAACTCCATACGAAAATGACTGGTTATCGTAATAATTACGGTCAAAGTTAGGTGATGCAACTGAGCCTTAGTAATATGTACTTACTTTTGTAATAAAATAGGCAATACTCCGATAACACGAACCATCTTTTCCTCCAAACTTTAAGTCCGTCAGAACCTTGCTTGTAGAGAATACCCGACATCGTTACCGGTGCTGTAGGTATCCTCTGTGCAATGGGCGAACGTAGTGCCTGATTTCCACCACTACTTCTCCGACTGTCCGAAGAAGGTGACTTGACACTAGGGGAGCTCGATTCACTGGACTTCATAGGTGAAATAACGCCAATATTATTTTTCTGACTTTGATTATTTAAATCTGACGGCGGAGACTGGCTCTTCCCTTTATCACCTTCAGACTGTCGTCTTTGTCTTTCAATTTCCCTAAAATCAGTCTGTTGATTCGACTGCCACTGTGATTCAGCGTAATGCCTATTTTGTTGTTCAATGTCTCTGTACTCATTATTTTTGGCATACCTGTCTATATCTTTTTGCAAATCAGGGCTGCTATATTCTTTAAAGTCATTTTTACTACCGTATCGATCTAGGTCTCTGTAAGATTCGTCGGAATATATACTATTTTGCAAGTTGGGCGGTGGTTGAACGCCGTGAATTTGCTGAAGCAGCAACTGTCGCTCCGCAAACTTCTGTTGTTGTTGCATTTGCGCCTGATTCTGGTAATGAAGTTGCTGCTGTAGCTTCATTTGCTGAATCTCATTATACTGTCTCCGTAATATTTCTGTGTTACTCTGTGGTCCTATTCTACTTGAATATGGCAAATACGGCTTAGATCCATACTGATTTACATTAGGTCTATACATAGGTTGATGATTTTGGTATATTTGATTGGTATCTCTCGGTGGGTTACGTTTTAAATAGTCCTGATACACCTCCGCGTTGTATCCTTTTGGGATGTTTTGTAGTAGTTCGTGGTTGACGTTGTGGTCTGTGTGCACTTCGTTGCGTTCCATTCTGGGCGGCGACTGTGGGTAGTAATTGTCGTTGGCTCCATAATGCCTCGCGTATTCGTGGTTGTGTCCTGTGCCGTAAAGGTCGTGTCTGTTTTCGAGAAGCGGCGACCGCGCGTTCATGTTTGAATGGTATTGACTTTGGAGGAGTTGATGCATGACGCCATTAGGCTGTATCTGGCCAGCCTGCGCGGACGTGAGGTGCGCAGCGAGCTGTGTGTTCTGAGTGGCGTATATCTGGTCTGGATGGACATGATGAGCCATTAGATGTTGTTGTGTGAGCGGCTGCTGGGTCGCCGGGGCTTGTTTTTTATTCTCCATTGGATATTGCGACTGCACGACTGGTGGGTCAAGCCTGTAACAATGACAAAATCAAAATGAGTCTAGTTTACACGTTCGATTAGTTAATTAGTAATTTTTCAAGACAGCGTGTCCGATAACATATAGGTAGACCAAAACAATTCAATTGGAGTTGCTTAATCGAAGACGGTTTATCGTCGTCGAGCGATAAGGTGCGTGTTTGGAGAAGTCGTTCAGACTCTATTGCGCACTGTCACGTAACGATTCTTATGCGTAGTGAAGTATCCGTAGCTAGTTTTCATATTGTTGCAATCCTGTTTTCATTTAAAACGAGTATTTTTATTTTAATACTTTGAAGGCTAATCGTTTTATTAATCCATTCTTGAGCATGAAGTGTAAATAATTATGATTCCATGCTTTTGGCAAACAAGCATGCACTTTGATAAGTGGCTTTCAGTGTGTGAACAATTTTATATGGTTACCATCATATTCGTAAAAATATATGCAGCTGTAATTCGTTTATGGTTAAAATAGTACATTGCAGCGAGAGATCAATCTCTTAGGAATTAAAGTTTAAATTATTCTGGTTGATTTTAAAATAAATTCACATAGTATTTCACAGCAAAACTAACAAAGGAGCTGAGCATTTTCAACCCCATAAATTATAAAGTTGATGCTCCGATTGTGGTCATGCAAGTAGCTGTTTTCCCACGTGCAACAACAAATAAAGTGTTGCGAGCGCCGTGTGAAACCCTTAAAGTGTGCTTCGTCCTTTTTCTTGGAAATAGATACGAGTCATTTGCAAAACTATTCCATGAGAAACGCATAGATTTCTATAAATAGTAAACAAGTTAACATACGTAGGTGGAAAATAAATTAAAAAACTTTAGTTGGTTTCACACGTGAATAACCAGTCAATGTGAGTAACAAAGTGGACTGTTTTTTACTAAGGGACGTTTGAAGGAGAACTTTGTGATGTCAATCTCAAGGTATATTAACTGAGTCAAAATAAAACTCTGAAGGCAAGTATTAGTGATGCTTTTTAGAATAATAAAATAATAATAATAGTACTATATAGTTAACTATGGTTGGTAATGTACTTGGACGTAAGACATTAAAATGAAAGAAAAAAGTCATAAATTTTTCCGACAATAAACGGCTCATGCTAAAACCAACCACGTAGTTTAAGTTCTTTCTTTCTAATTTAGAACACCCCTTGCTCGATGGATCGTTCATCTGAAAGTGGCGCTTCTTATCAACGGCTTAAATCCAGCAGTCCTATAGAGTGCTATATTAGCTGAGAAGATAATAAAGATGGACATTACAAAGCTTCTTAAAGGCAACAATAGAAGAACAATAGAACATTGTGTTAATCTCTAAAACCACGATAAGACTGATAGCACTGTAGTGAATGCTTCAATTAATTGATGAAATGAAACGCTATACTTTTTGAAATGTTTTGATTGCTATCTTATCTTAAGTTTATTACACGACTGACCTAGTACTTATTATCGTAAATAAGTAATTTAGTCGGTTTACACATTTACCCATATTTTGAAATCGGCCTCATTTGAAGAAGTTATCAGTAAGATATAAAAAGAATGAGCTAAATAAAACTACACTGTCTGATATTGACGTAATTGGTAAGTATCTCATATCCATAGTCAATTAAACAAAATAAGAAAGAATAGTTGTTTTAGGAGCAGTTTTCTTACAGTCTACATACCAAACCAGTCGACCCTTTTGAGATGTTGTCAAAAGTCATAGAAATTATACGTCGTCAACATGTATCTTTTGAAATAAAACCGCCGACACCAAGCCGCTGATCTGTCGGCGTGCTTGATATGTAGATTGTAGAGTCCCTTACTTTTCATTTTATGTTGTGTTCGTTACTGTATCTCATGTAGGTTAAGTAAATAAATAAGTAGATTAGATACGCTTCGTATTAGTTAGAATTAACACCAACATTTTGCTACCAAAGGACTCGACTATGTAAATAGCATTAGAACTCGGTTCCAAGATTTTGAACTCTACCAAGTCAAAGGCATACGAATGCTCGCTATTTACGAAGAAAAACACTACTTTGGAGAGTAAACAGTTGCTAGGTACTTTGTCTTTGGCTAGGTACCTATATACCATAGAACTAATGTAGTAAGATATGTTCATTTCAAAAGTTTTAACCTAGCATATAACAAATGAAAACTCTCTTTGAATTGATTTGTGTAAGGGCTCGTTCCCATGGCAATCAATGTTTTGAGGATTCCAATAATTCAGGATCCCGCAAAACTGGACTCTCGTGTGAACGTTAATATTATTGGCACACGTATCCTGCAAAAACTGTTTATAACTGTTGTTTACTAAACAGCATCTTGCAAAAAACGTGATGTGTCCGTGGGAGCAAGTTCCTAAGTTTCATTTATTTATTACGTCTACAAAACAAAGCGTAAAAAAACTAATCAATTCGGAAGACGCACACCTCAAAAAACATTTTCTCATCACATTGCATTTGCATTTAGACAATGATGCTTCGATAATGAAATCGACTTGACGGGATAATCACCGATCACAACCCGTCGCACGCGCACCACCGGATGTGAACTAATGACTATACTTTAACTACGATGCTTTAACTATGGTCATTGAAGCACGATGCATACGTTACTAAGAATTAAAGCGAGCAATGATCAATCAGACTTCCGGCTTAATTGAAAGGTTTAGAGGCTGTACTATATACAGATGGCAGCAGACTAACAAATTATTGCAAAGTCAAAGTTTATTTTCAGTACTTAGGCCCTTTCCAAGGCGCTTATACACGTCCCAAATATACCTACCACTACTTCGGAACAACATAAATGGGGTGGTGCTGAAAAGAAATGGCGGAAGAAACTTAGTCATTTTTGCAAATTAACACCTACTCGTATAACAACTTATTCTACATAGATGCCACAGCGTTTATCTTAACATAATTAAAAATCATCTCTACAATAAAAAGGTTCGAAATTGATCACAAAGAAATAGCGTTAAATTCAGATTTTCACATGAAAGTGCTGAAATATCCAAAGCCACTTTTCAAGCTATTACACTCGCACCACCACTGCTATGTAAAACATTCCATAATTTCAGTGACCCAAATCCTGTAAACTGGTTACGTCACAGGACATTCCTCCGGAAAACTCCGCAAAAATGTGTCTCTTTCACTGTATTAGCATTTTCCGCAATTAACCCGCAGACACGCTGTTTGTCTGGGTCGTTATAAATAATGTGCTCAATAATGCACGCGTTGTGGTGGGTACTCGAGCGCGTGAAGCTGTATGGACTGGGGTGACAATGGTTTGGGTTAATAACGAGACTACTAAAGTAGAATGATAGATAAAAATAAACTGGCTAGGTAATGAGGAATCAACTTTTAAATCTAAAGTACCCAATAAGGAACAATTAAGTATGAGTGCATATTATTATATACATTAGCGGAAGAAGGGTGGGGCGTGTCTTTGTGGATGAAACGAACTATACTAAAATGACACTTACTATAACATAAGAACCATATGAGACAATTACTTACTTGACTATTGTAACGTAGCTATCATGACAGTAAAACGAATTAATCTTATTAATCAAACAATATCTCGGATGTTAATAATATAATGTAAACAAAGTATTGCACAATCATCGGATCTACTGTATACTCTACGAGAGTAAAAGGTTAATTTCAGCTGAAAAAGTCCTCTACGGTTTGTAATCAAATAATGCCAACATAAAAGTAAATAGCTTTTCAGTAAGCAGAACGTACCTAAAGCACTTGAAAGAGTTCTTACACAAGAGTTCTTATACAACCAGGGCTAATGAGAAAACTTATCCAAGCGCTCAACTTTAGGGAACTCCAAATATTCGCACCATCCCATTGAAAATCCTGGTCACGCCAGTCACACCGGTCCACTTGGCTGGTTTCCAGACAATGCCGTGCCCCGTTTAGACTGCGCGACGACCGACTGATCCCCAATGTCAATCTAACCCAGCGTTGCCAGACGTCCCGATTTTGGCGGGACATCCCGATTTTTAAATCAAATTTAAATGTCCCGCGCGGGACAGGCTCGGTCCCGCTTTTCGGAGAGAAACACTCACTTCACCAGACTATTGTTTGAAACGCCCATATTATTCTAAAAAATAAAACTTTTTTTTTTTATTCTAAAGACGAATTTAACGATAGAGTAAATCTGATTTAAAATATTATTTTTTTGTTAAAATACATTTTCTATGGCTACTTTTGCTATCGATTGTCACGTAAACGTAATTTTAAGTCAAATAAAAAGATAAATATTTGAAAACCTTTGATTATATGATTATATACGTTTTTTTTACTATGTCCCGCTTCTGACGGAAGAATCCCGCTATTTTCACTCAAAAAGTACCAAAGTCCCGACTTGGCGAAAAAAAAACTGGCAACGCTGATCTAACCATAGCTGACCCATATTAAACGCGTCTACATTATAGGTCGATTAACTCAGTCAGTGCCTGAGTTTGGGAGCATCAAAAGCGCAAAATGTCGAATCCATAAAAATGTTACTAATTTATGATATTTTTTATCCTGTTTTAATTTTGTTGATTAGTTTAACCGCTGATTTAGTAAAATAAAGTAAAACTCGTAGTTAGGTTAGGTTTAAGATTTTTATGGATTGGACATTTTGCGCCTAAACGTTTTGACACGCCAAACGACAGCGAGACTTCAGATATGCTCTGCTCTATCATGTCATATGTCAATGTCACTATTGTCACCCCTCCTGTGGGTCTAGTCAAAACGCACTTTAAAATCGCAAACCCATCGCAAACCAGTCGCAAACAAATAAACAAATCGCAAAAGAAGTCGATAACAAAAAAGGCTTAGTCAAACGGCAAAAAATCGAATCGCAAAGCCCTACCTATCGATAATCGAAAGACTGGATTGAAATTTCCCATACAAAGGCTTAGCCAACATGCATTTAAGACTCAATTAAAATCGAATCGAATCGCAACACCCGCCATTTTCATTGCGATTACTATTTTTATTAGTTGTTCAAA